CCTCCCACGACTAAAGCTTTAGTTTCTCTAGACTGTTTTATCTTCTAGAAGAATTTGAGTCTAGAGAAACTAAAGCTTTGAACACGGGATGTCACCTACAGAATCAAACTATCAATGTAATACTTCAAAGTTGATGTTTTCACTTTCTTTTACTTTAACATTATGGAGGACAGTAACATACCACTGTCTATAATGACGTGATATTTCTAATTTAAATGAATTATTACCACAATCACTAACTACTGATCAAATCGTAATTTCTAGTCCTGTTTTAAGCAGCAAACGTTTATTGTTCCTTGAATCTGTTAAGCCAAAACACAGTCACAGAGGTTGGTGGAATACATTCTAAGATTTTATTTGTTTTGTTGTAAGACAGATATTTTTGAAATATCGTCCCAGATTTAACATCATCAAATTAAAAAATAAAAATAAAGGACTTTTACTACTGATAAGTTAAAAAAAGGTATATATTAATAATTGTAAAATTAAGATCATATTGAATAATTTATTGATTTGGTGTATAAGTAATAATAAATAACTATATTGGAATTTAATTGGAAAATTTACATATTACTTTCTTTTTCTTTTATTACACAAGCTTTTCGCTCAAGTACCTAAGCCTTCGACTAGACGTAAGCTCGTGTAATAAAATAATATTAAAACAGCATACGGAGTGTCTAATTATGTTCCAGTATAATTAATTAATACTCGTGTTATGAGCTAAAAATAATAAATCATGGTTATGGTTAATTAACTCCACCGAAATTATAACTTACCTGGTTGAGTAAAAATTAAAGAAAATTAAATTCTAAAGTTACAAATGCCAAAAATAGCAATTTAGTACCGCAGAGGTCTTATTAATTAGTGGATGGATAAAAAGAAGAATCCGGGTTTCGATAGCCCATTGTGTAACTTTGTGCTTAATTACAAACAAACAAATAGAAGAACTGTGGTGTTACAACACGAAAACATATTGCGGTGTTAATCCTGACTTTTCTAATGCATTGGTTTAAACAAATTGTGAGTTAATGTTTAGTGACATTTTTGACAGAGTTGTTTATGAACTGCCATTAATGAACAAGTCGTCCACCTTAAAAATGAAAATTGTTCTCTGAATAAGGTTCAATATTTGTATACTATTAGAGTTGTTCTCTATTTTGGAGCTAGGCGTGGTTCATTGGTTAGCGTATCGGAATGTGAATCTGTAGATACATGGTTCTTGCCCCCTTTACCTCACAAAAAAGAATCGCACTCCGCAGTTATGGGTAGTGGGTGCGTTATAAGGATGATGGCCAAATCCCACTGTTCGGTCAGACAAGAATAGCCCAAGAGTCAGCGAAGGGTGCAGCTAGCTAGCTAGCTTCTACTACATCAGTTTAAAATTAGGGGATGACTAGCACAGATAACCTTAGTGTAGCTTTGCGTGAATATCCAAAAACAAACAAACGTCCCCTTGTTTGTAAAGCAATGTAATGCATAATAATAATGTCTACTTACTCCTTAATTATATTCTCGTATTTCAGGCTAGATACTTAGAACCTTTATGTTAAAACTGGGGCTGAAGCTAAAACATGCTAACAGACCGATATTTCACATTGGGGCGATATTCATGACCAATAATTCACACTGGGGCGTAACAGATTTCAATCCATTTGATAAACAACTATTTTGTATCATAAATTCATTTTCATAATGCTGAATAACTGAAAGACAATATCTAATTGATACGACTGGGTGTCTCTGCATAAGAGATAATGAAACTGTGGCAAAGACTACTTAATATTTTTAATATATCTATTAACTGATCAATTTATAAGTTACTTAATTCACTATTGTGACCTCAGAACAATGAAACATTCTTAAACTCTAGTTTTCCAAATACAAAATGCTCTTACCTGCGTACAGCAAATCAGTCGCGAAATGATTTATTTTCTACTAGGCCAATGTCTTGTGTCGCTCTGTATGAACAGTTACACGGCACATTCGTGCTCTCTCTTCGGTGATTGTCCTGTAGTGAGATTCGACGGCACGCACAAAACATCGATAGCAGGGTTTGTTTAAATGCTTCTCTAAAGTCTCTGTTAAAGTAGGCATAAATGATAGGGTTTAAAGAGGAGTTGAAATACCCTATCCAGAAAAGAACATCCACAACGATGTCAGGACAGTAACACGCATCTCCACACATTGTTATCGATACGTACCAGAGGAAGAAAGGCAGCCAACAAAGGATGAAAGCACCCATAATAACACCCAGCGTCTTAGCTGCCTTATGCTCCCGTTTCAACTTAATCAAGTGACGTTTAGTAGGAGTAAAATGTCCACTTTCGGTGTCATCACAATGTGAATATCTGTGTTGAGAGGCGGAGTTGACCCCACCAATTGCAGTATGGTCAGCACTGGGTCGATGGTACAACCCAGACTGGGATTTTAGCAGTGTCTTCTCCTGTTTCGAGGCTTCGAGAAAGATCTTCCAGTAGGTGAACAGCATGATAAAGCAGGGGATCCAGAAGGATACACTGGATGAAATTATAGCATAGGGCTTGTTAACCACAAAAGAACAGTCCTCTGGATGACTTTCTTTGAACTTAAGATGGTCTGCTGTTGTATACCATCCAAGAAAGATAGGGATGAAAGAGATTAAGGCAGACGAGATCCAGACGCAAATGAGCATGATGGCAACAGTTCGACCAGTCAGTTTGTTTGGATACTCTAAAGGTTTGATGATTGCATAATAACGATCAACACTGATGCAGCAGAGGTGCATAATGGAAGCCGTAGAGAAGAGTACATCACAGGAGTTCCAGAAGTCACATGTAATGGGATCAAATACCCATCTCCCGGCAATCTTTACACTAGCGTTAAAAGTCATGGCAAGGAGAGCCACTAGGGTATCAGCAAAGGCAAGGGATACAATAAAATAGTTGGTTGTAATCCGGAGTTTGTGGTGACGAAATACGCTGACAATAACCAAGGTGTTGCCAAATACCGCAGCAAACATAATAATAATCATGGCACATGATTTGAGAACCAATGTGAGAATGTCGTCCCACATATCGGGATCTGTTTCCATGTAGGTGCCATTGCTGGTGTTTCCCTCAACAGAAGAGTTGGGTTGGATAAGGACAAAAGTGCGTGTATACCCGTTAATCGTCATTTTAATTAAATAAACTTAACACTCATTTCCCCATCACTGAGAACTCGCAATTGAAACGTAACCTTACAATATGCTCTAAGGTGAGAGGAGCAGCCTCTCCCTAGGCGCACAAGAGCGATGTTTTCCTTCTAAATAGGGGTGGGGGGGCTGCACTAGGCTCAGCGGTTTTCTGCCAATACGAGCGTCTATACTTTGTCGCGTGTAACTGAGCCGTGAGCGCTCTCACGTGGAAAAACTGAAGTCTTTGCCGCCGCAGAAGCTGAGAAATAGTATAACACGCACACTCACAGATATATGCGTCTTGAAACACTCACGAACTCGGACACCTTCAATTACTTTTGTTTCAGAAATTAGAACTTATAGGCAGAACATTTCACAGAGATAGAGACGAAATTGATTGCTTTGGTTCTTAATGATCATTAGGAACAAATTGCAATCCTTTTCCCACTATTTCGTGATGCCAGCCTCAATAGTTTTTAAACGCATTATCGTTTCGTAACTTGATACATATGATTATTCCTTTTGTTTCTCCATGCTGCTTTAACTTTTATTCGCAACAAAGAAAGGCGAATACCAGGTTGCTTTTTTGATACAAAATTAAAATTTTACAATAAACATATTAAGTGTTATAAAGAATGTAAGTATGAAAACTGCTTACGATAAATATTTAATAAATCGAGGCCAACATTTTAGAGCTTATATATAAGAAATATTTTGTTACAGGCCTTCAAAAATATCAGCATGTATGTGTTTGTGCACGTATACATTTGTGTTGCTAATTTTAACTGGAAACCATGTACACTAAACTCATTCTACTCTCAGGAATCTCTTGTAACAAAAATAAAAACGTCTACTAACGTAGTCTTTGATGTAGCACACTGCTTAGTTGGACCTGTAGCTGATACGCCTTCCTCCTGCACTTTAAATAAAACAAGGACGAGAATCTCGGTGCTTTTCACTTGGCTACCACACACGGTATAAAACATCACAGTTCACATTCACTGTTATCATCCTTCGTACAAGTAAGCTTACAATATCGCGAGTAATTAATCACCTGGAACCTTTGTAAATATAAGGTAACACTTGGGGAAATCCAAATGCTTGAAGGAAACATGTAGAAAGTAGTAAAAACAAGAGGGGAACATTACATATTCAGTTAGGGTAGGTAGGAAGTTATAGCATGTGATTTGATTTTAATTGGACTTTTGGAAAGTTAAATGAAGCTTGGAATAATTTGTTTGAAAGACGTTTTGTTAAGAGTAATTATCTCGAAAGAAATCCGAGAAAAAAAACCTCAGTATACGTTACGTGAAAACGAGAGTTATTTGGTAACCTGACTACAAGGCAGTTAAGATTTTACTTCATAACTTCCTTGTTGATATAGTTGTAGTCTGTTATCTTAATTAGAAAAAATATATATTTTCTGCCTATTTCGGAAGACCAGTTTCGAAGTTATTCACGTGTTACAGTAACATATTGAGATAATCCACAGTTATCATAGACTTTCGGGGAAGAAAGTTTACGAAAAATACTATCTAAAATTTAATTGCGTAACTATTCCATCGATGAATCATAATAGTATCTCGTAAAACTAAAATTAATATTTCAGTTCTCCCAAACCTGTTTCGTCAATTCAACACAGGCGTTTAGGCAACGTTGTTCAACAATGTGCTGTTCGAGGAGGTTCAGAGTTTGTAGTTAATCAATCGTATATAGCCGCATTAGTCTTAAGTTCAAGTAACAGCAGAATGTGGTTTGGTGGCCGAACGGAAGGACCAGACTTTTCATACAAACTTTCGTAAACATCATTCAAAACATATACAAAGCAAGAAATGAAGTACGATACTTACTTTTAAAATTAATGTAAATCTGATCTAAACTTGTACAAACCAAGGAATGAAGTACAGTAATTACTTCTAAAATTAATGTAAATCTGATCAAAACTCTTACAAACCAAGGAATGAAGTACAATAATTACTTTTTAAATTAATGTAAATCTGATCAAAACTTTTACAAACCAAGGAATGAAGTACAATAATTACTTTTTAAATTAATGTAAATCTGATCAAAACTTTTACAAACCAAGGAATGAAGTACAATAATTACTTTTAAAATTGCGGTAAATCTCATTAAAAACTTCTACAAACCAAGGAATTAAATACAATACTTACTTTTAAAATTATTGTTGTGACGGATTTATTATTGTACATTTATTTTAATATCTACATTTGTTTATATTAAATTCACATTTAGAAATATGCATAGCTTATAGTGTTAAATATGTATTGCGAAACTTTCATCTATTCTCTAAAGTTGTAGAAGATTCTAGAGTGTAAGAATCAACAATATTTGTGTCTACGTAAACCCTTAATATAGCGTGTTAGTATTGTTACGCAATCTGAATTTTCGAGAAACTCTCCACACGTCCATAAATGTAACCAACGCGACAGGATCTATTATTAGTTTGCTATAGTCAGTGTTCTATAAACTTCGGAAGCTATAACTGCGATTGTTATAACGCTCATCAATCGGAAAACTTCAGATATTTGACCAGGAACATTTACAAAGTTCGAACATTACAAATCATTTAACTTCAATGGATTCTCATCGGACATTAGTATTTTTACGAAGATATTATATAACTTCAGCGGTAAAAGAAACTCGACATGTAATCGACGTGTGATTAGAGAGAAACTACAGAGCTAGCTAGCTCCCTGATGAATTGTACCTACGTTGACTTGAAATTAACTCGCTCCATTGTGAGCCATTGATAAGATATCAATGAAGTTCCAGATTAGAAAGAAGACTTTATATTGCTTGTAAGTTTTTAAAATTTTTGTATATAAATCAGTGTTTGTAATAACTATTATTGTAAATTGCATTGTTGTTTGTGTATTAAAATATATTTGTATTAAAAAAAAGAAAATTGTTTGTATCAATCTTGTTGGCAAATATCATAAACTGACTATATATGTCGGCTTTAACTTAACTGCTAAATCCAAAGTACAATTTAACTACTAATTTTAAACTATCATTTAACTCAATTTCAGGCTATTTGAAATTCTAATACGTAACATTGTAAATCTGATCAAAACTCTACAGACCGAGGGATAAAGTACATTACTTACTTTTAAAATTATTGTAAACCTGATCAAAACTTCTACAAACCAATGGATGAAGTACAATACTTAGTTTTAAAATATTACTGTAAATCTGATCACGCTGTAAATGTATATAGGCGTGATTTAGTACGTGTAATATAATTAATTCTATTACTTAGAAGCTCTTTTGCACCTGCTGCATAATTGTCACTTTTGCCTAATAGAATTAGGAAAACCGTTTCTAAAAATATATCATTCTATTTACCACTTGTTACTGAGTTATACCGGTTTTTCAGTGGACTCTATATTATATTCGTGTTATTTCTAGTTGCTATTTTCTTGCTGTTACAAAAAATCCTAGTCTCGTATTCTTGATTTTCCCTTGTCCAGGGTTACTGATGAATTCTTTGAAACCGGTATAACTCAGTGACAAATGGTGAATCAAGTGATAGATTAGGTTCCATATTTATCTTTAGTATCTTAAACAGCTTGTCTTCTAGATAATTTAGAAGAATAATTTAGTGCCATTACTGCTACTTATTTGTCACATTTTATATAAACATAGGTTTAATGCACAGGGTGTCCAAAAGATCTGTAACCATAGGCACTTCAACGAATTTTACAGAATGTATTCCACATGCTGTCCTTGTAATTCGAAACAAGTTTGGATTAACAGTAGGATTAACTCAATCTTCTCATGCTTTGACAGGGCAATAATCAGTCACATATCTGAAGTTAAGAAAAACTGCAAATAACCTACGGTTCCAAAATTTTCGGACGTCCTGTAGAGAGTAAACGACACTTTAATACATCTGAACAAAGTTTTTACAAAAGTAATAGCGATTAAAGTTTATTGTTGGAAAAACCAGTGTTACCTTAGATATAACGCATCGTGCGTTGTAATATGGAACACATTTTAGCTATTAAAAATAATCTAAATTTTACTTCAGTAAAGTAAATTGTCGTTCACCCATTTGTCTCATTACCTCTCACTGATTTTACTCTATGAAAGCTCTAAAACGTTTAAAATGTTTAATTGAGTAGTCTAGTTTGAATGTTTTATACTTGTATTTGTTTGCATTTAATTCCATCTTGCTTTTTACGCATTATACACACACACAAATATATATATATTCACATGTACATAAACAATTATCTTTTTCACTCCACTTGTTTTTTTCCCGGATGATCCTGTACATCACACTAGAAAATTAACATAAATTGAACGTATCCGTTTTTGTTAACCTTGACATTAAAATATTACTTGGTTATATTTATATGAGAAAAAATAATGTCCTAATATATAATGTCGAATACTGCTAAGCCTTTAGATGGTATCACCACATGAAGAATATAATTGTTGACTATTATATTGAAAATATACCTTTAATGGGCTCTCTGTACGTTCCGTCAATATACTTGGACATATTTATTTCCCTTCAACCAAACTTAAGATCTTAACGGAGCCCTAGCTAGTACGACGAAATGTTGTTATTTACAGAATGTTGCTCGGAAATCCATGCACATCGCTCAAAGTCTGTTGGAGATCGATTTTTAAAATTAATCTAGCAAATAATAGACAACTCTAGAAACCATCTGATAGTTGTATACTTTATTTCTTTTATATGTTTTTACACACAAACTGTGCTCACTTTTTCCAGATATGTTTTTACGTAACTCAATAAGGAAGATAATAGTTTAGGAAATGGAGTATTTTATAGATATATGAACAGTGTCTTTTTAATGTATATAAAAAAACAACAACAACAGATAGTAAAACAAATCTTATTAGCAGCTAGTACATTCTTCACAAGCACTGACCACTGTCTAGCGTCGTCTCAGTACGCTCCTGCTAAGCCTCTGAATTACGATTTTTAACAGTTGGTCCCATTCCTCAGCTCGCGAAGAGTCACGGCCTTAACAAGGTGGGCCAAAACGGTATTTTGGAGAGGGCCTTAGATATATACTATCGATTCCATTTTTATAAATTGAGTGGCCCACACCATAGGAATAGTAGTCCCCATCTGAAAGAACTACTTTA